GAGATTTGGGTGAATTTCCAGGATGAAATTATCAGCAAGATGCCAACAGCCAGCCACAATCACAGTGGAACAGGTGGTGTTACAACTGCACTGGAGGCGGGGCTTTAAATAAGTTGCAGAGTTTGGGGCAAGACAGGAAGTGAGCCCGCAAAAATAAAACTCTTGATCAATTGCGGGTTACAGGTCCCCCCCCCAAACTCATGTGCGTCCTCGTACATGCAAGCGGCTGGTGACACACCACACTGTCACATAATGTAGAGGTCACAGGAGTCTCATCCAGTTCCAGAGCAGATGTAAAGGCTGTGCCGAGTCCTTTGAAACAGGTACTGGATGCTTTACAAAAGTGGATGCCCAAGTTTCGAATACTGCAGACGAGATGGTGGCTGACGTGTTCGAGTCGAGCATCGAACAGGTGGTTCCGGATCTGGACTGGAGAGTTTTGAAACAGTAGAATCTCTTAACAGGCTGGTTTGTTCTGGAGAGGATGCAGATTCTGGGTGAGGAGAGACAGGTCCTGATTGGGAGAAGGAGTTTTCCTCGAGAGGCTCCGAGTCAGCAGAATCTGCTTCATTTTCAGCTGGTTGCTCCATGTCCAGTTTAGCAGTAGGTTCAGGTCCAGACTCCACTTCCTGTTCCTCACCAACAGTTCCTTCCATGGAGCCCTGTGAGCGCTGGCCAGGCGGATCCACAGGCATAGGAGCGACGGTAGATAGAGGAGCAGGTAAGTCAACCACAGTTTTAATTCTGGTGAGATAAGAGCTGGAGTAACCAGGTAAATCAGATAAGAACACCTTCATTTTCAGGATCTGGAAGATCTATATTTTCTGGTGTGGGTTTTTTTTGGGTATATTCTAAAATACAGTAGCTAATTTGTGACTCACAAATTAGCTCACCTCGAGGCACCACATTCCTTAATTCGATCAAGTGTTGACCCAGGAAAGAAATGAAAACTGTAACTTTATTGTAATCAGTCTCAGAATACATTTACCCAAAATGATTTGATGAGTTCTGGTCTTATCAG